GTCAGAGATGTTAACTGTTGTTCTTTCATAATGTTGTGATTTAACATCTTTGATTGTGCATGTGCTAAGTATGGCACATACTTAATATGGCTTGGTGATCACTAATTACCTCTTGCACTAATGATCCTTAGACAGCATTGTCTAAGAGACCGTAACCTATTACATAATCAGGCTAACTTATCAGCTCTATCATGCATTCGGAGGCCAACATCATGTGGTCTCCATCTCATGTTGGCCTCCGAATGCATGATAGAGCTGATAAGTTAGCCAAAGAATCTGCCTTTAAAGGAGCCGTTGAGTGTAACCTTGGATTGTCAATGAGCAATCTGAGAGCAGCTGTACACCGAGAACTTCAACAAGATCTTGTAGATCTGAGGCAAAGTGAAATTGACACCAGTAATTCCATCTATCATCATACTATCATGCAAGAGGAGCCACACATCTATGGATCATCCAATAAAATCAGCAGACTTCTAGATGTTACTACTGCTCGGCTTAGACTCGGTTACAAGTATCTCTGGGAATTCTCATTATCTGCTGATGTAGACCTGACCAAATGTAAACTGTGTCAACAAAATTATTCGCACACCCTCCGTCACTATGTGATGGAGTGCGAAAAGATACGTGAATTTAGAGACAATTCTATAACCAATGTTCCAGCGATGTGTCAATATTTCATTCAAAATGATCTGCTACCAGAAATTTTAGCCAAATATCCCCAGTTTGCTAACTGCAGGTAGTAACTAAGTGATTGTAACCTATCCACCGCTGCCCACTGGATGGGGGGCGGTGTGCAGGACAAACATATAAATTTTGACACTAGCTCTCCACATATGTCAGTTGCTTAATTTAGAACCTGTACTTGAGGTCGATCTCGAACCCATTGTTGATGTGATGACTTATATTGAATTTTGTAACTAGCTCATCAAGATTGTAACTTGCTTAGCTAAATGAATTGTGGGGTTCAGTCCCTGAGCCCATTATGTGCCTCTGTAACCCTTTCCACTACCGCCCACAGGATGGGTATGGGGTGCATAATAAATGAACTAAACTAACTAACTAACTGAGAGATGGGCGACATTAGATGGGATTAGATAAAAAATCATATTATTTTTCCTGAGGTATTTTGGAAACACCGAACCATTTATGTTTGTTTTATCATCGCCTAACTTATTGTGTCTAGCGTTAAAGTCACCCATTATGATGGTTTAAGAATTGCTATTGATTGAAGGAAGAGATGTCTCAATCATTCTGTCACACCTCACATAAATGTTGCAGAGGTAGAAGGAGCCAGTCTCTGTGGATATCTGAAACTTCTGATAATAGGTGTCCTCACTTTTATGATTTTTAATGTGTTTACAAACCAGACCACTTAACATATGTCAGTACGCCTACATCATAAGGTCATGTGTTCGAAAAAGATACGTACACCGGGAGTCTAGGTGGTGTCTTGTGTAAGGTGTTAGATGTATATGGTTCTTGCAAGCAAACTACATCAACATTATTATTACCTACACACATAAGAATATCAGTAAGTCTCTTGCGCACGCTCCGCATATGCTAGGACAGAAATGTGAAGGTCCTTGTTGTTTTGTTAGTCATTGTAGCCATTCTGCTTCCCTGTTCGATCTCTAAGTTTAGAAATTATCATATAGACAACATTAAACAAGGTGATTGGTTCTTCCTTAACTTTCATACTGTGTATCATTCCAGACATCTGGCCACTCTCTCTTTGTCAGACGTTTTATCCTGCTGTCGTAGAAAGTATCAATGTTAATGGACGCATCACTATAAGTCGCACTGAACAGTTGCTCAGCACTGAGTTGGGTGCAGCTCTCCGAGCCGGACACCTCTTCATTTTTGCTGTGTTTATCAAAATTCTAACATGTGGAATCAGCTGGCCTAAAGTGTGCTTGAGGTGCAAACACACCTCTTCTTCTTGATAGTAGGTGCAGTTTGCATGAAGGGTTTGTCCTCCCGATGACTGCACAAACACACCACCTACACTAGCATCGCTAGTGGTTTGATTCACTACACTGTGTGGTGGGGAAGTTGCACCATCTACCGTGAGTGTCGTGTAAGCTTTTCCTGACCCATTGAGAAGATGACCAGTTGAAAGAAGAAACAAATGGAGTGTTTTTCAATATTTTAAATTTGTTCACTCATTTCCTGTACAGCAGCACTCAGGGGAGATGTGGTCACGATGGTCTCCTCCGGTGCAGCGTCGGGGTCAGCTGCTGCAGTAGCAGGTTGGACTGAATGGGTGGGACCGTGGGATCAGTCTCAGCTGAGTTTGTGTCCAGTGGGTGTTTGCGTCGTCCCCGGCTGCATTCATTAAGCCAGGCTTTAACACCCTCCTTGCAGCCTCTTGTGCATTTCATGTGAGGCATGTTGGTCACATACTCATTTTCTTCACTACTTGCGGTTTTAGTTTCCGGGGGACAACTTGTAAAGTTGTGGGGACCAGCAAAATACCGATAGTTATATCAGGTAGCCTATGCTGCCATACATACCTCCGACAACAAAAATCTAATTAGAGACAGGAAGTAAAAATACCCCAAACAAGTTGGTATGAAACCATCTTAAGTTACTGGTTGTTCTGCCATTAAACGGCCAGCTCATTAGTTAGAGTTAATATTTTGAAACATATATAGTGACATCGATCTGTACTATTTAGGGTAAGAATACAAACACGCAAGACGTATCCTATTGAAAATTTAATTAACATTAAAAATATATTAAATTATCTGTAAAAATATGTATCAAGACACTATATTATTCAGATGTTCTTAAAACTTGAAATTTGAGTAAACAGCTGTAATTTGTACTCAACAATAAATGTTACTCTACTGGCACAAGTTAACATGGGCCTTAATTCACAAGGAATCACCAACTAGGCTGGGGCCGGGGGCGCTCAACCTGGTGGCCCGTAAATAAATATATTTAAATTAAACGAGACTGTCATATTAGAACAAGTTGTGTAAATTATTCAATATCACACCATAATATGTAATCAATTACATATTTTATATTATAACGTGTATACTATTAACTGAAACAATTCTAACCACTAGAAAATGATAGGTAGTTAACCCAAACCATTAATTTCACTACCGAACATGAAATTAGGCTCCAATAATATGTTATAATCACTAATAACATTGATATATATATATATATATATATATATATATATATATATATATATATATATATATATATATATATATATATATATATATATATATATATATATATCAAGATTTAATAAATATAGACAGCTAACTTTAAATATAATTTGCAAGATGAGTAAAGAAACAATTACCTATTTGTGAGAGCTCTTGTTTTGCACATCCTCACTCTGCTGTGGCTAATGTCGAACTAGTCAGCAGACTCCAGATTGTGTACTAATACACTAGAAGTGCCACTTAATGACTATTTTTAAATTTGAAAAGCATATTAGTCCACTCCTTGAAATTTATAATGTGGTTTTATAATCTTGTCCCTTAAATTCAAAACTGTTTCAATCAAAATATGGATTGCTATACACGCGGGTTGCAAGTCACTTCGTACACAAGACAAATTATTTGAAACAATCTTACTCAACCCAACCTAATCTAACTTAACCCAAACTAACCTAACCTCTCCCAACTGACCACAGTAGAGCCTCACCTAAGTAATACAGCCTAGCGTATCTATAACTATGTATATAGATTTTTAACGAACAAAAACTTTCTATAGGACAGATTACTTGACTAGGGAAGCTCTCACCAAATTGTTAACAACTAACATTTCTTTCACATTCCTACAGTGACGTAGTCTCCATAAGTTTACATATCATAACATCCAAACAGTTACCCTACATTGTGGTATTATTTGTTAGACCAAACCCACTTAAATATGCCAAAACTCACCATCTTCAACATTGTGAATTAGGCTTTAACACTCTACCAAATGATAAGTTACTTGCTGACTTGTTGGTGTGGAGAACACTGAGAGTGCTTTATTGCCAAAATGGAGTATTATTCACAGGTTGTATAATGAATGTTTTTTCTGATGTCTTTGTACAGAACTGTGCAGGTGGTGTTGTATGGTGGAGTAGTATGTGCACTGTTTCTAGTGCTACCCAATCCCCCATCCTTTATGTACTTAATCCAAGCAACTTTTCCATTGTGATCATTGCTGCCTTCTTATATGTGATATCAATATGCTGTATTGTGCCTATTAATCTTTGTTAAATTACCAATCAAGCTGTCAATGCAATTAATCAGAGCTACCGATGTGCCTTAATATACCCACTAATCTCTCTCATCTAATTTTTTTCTTGCAATGTACCTGTTATCACTTTATAAAATTTGCTAGAATTTACCTACTTAAAATTATATGTTACCTGCCCGAAACGCTGCGCGTACTAGTGGCCTTACAAGAATGTTAACACCATGCTGTGTATCATCACAAACCCCATGTACCTTCTTGTATATAAATAAATAAATAAATAAATAAATAAATAAATAAATAAATGAGTAAACGTGCATTCAGTGTAGTGAGTGGTATAGCAACACCAGCGTAATGGAGAGTGGAACGCAAGAAGCTTTGTAAATTTACTTGAATTTATCTGAGGGTCACCATTACTAGTGTCCTCGACGAGGACAGGAAGCCGGCGGCTTGGTACTCATTTGCATACTCATTTGACCTGATGATCTTTTTCAGTTGTAATTTTAAAACCCAACAGGGTTTTAGCATTTACGGTAGGCAGTTCCATAGGTTTATAACCCTATGGGTGAAAAAACATTAATTACTAAATGAGAGTGGGTTTAGATTCTGTGCAGTAAGTGATGTAGTAGCAGTGTTGGTAAGCACTGAGGTGTAGCCAGCGATATAGTAAATTATGTGTATCCTGCATGTAAATTATTACAGCACCATCAGTATAGAGGAGAGCTGGGTGTAGTATAGATGTGGAGTGGTGAAACATCTGCTGAAGTAGCATCATTGTCCTAAAAATTACAAATACTTAGTTACGAGCTTCCGCAGGAAACAGTTAAAGCGCCCGCCTACGAGTCTGGCTACTACAGGAGTGATGAATGTAGCCCCAATGACACCGACCGTCAACTCTTCCGCTACTATATCGACATGGAAGGTTATATGTATGTACATCTTGCTCGTTGTTTGATCATGTCATTGTATTAATATACTTTATTGTATTGTATATTATTTAATCATTGTATTGGTGTGACCAGGAGCATCACGGTGAAAGAGAAGCTGAAGGAGGCACAAAAGGAATCAGGCAAACCTGTGTCCACTACGGATGACAAACTACAAGTAAGTACCTGGCACACATACTTTGTGTATGTATATATTTGTGTACTAGTTCACCACCATGACTAATCCATATTTCGATACCCACTGGATGGGGGGCGGTGTGCAGGACAAACATATCAATTGTGACACTAGCTCTCCACATATGTTGGTTGCTTAATTTAGAACCTGTACTTGAGGTCGATCTCGAACCCATTGTTGATGTGACGACTTATATTGAATTTTGTAACTAGCTCGTCAAGATTGTAACTTGCTTAGCTAAATGAATTGTGGGGTTCAGTCCCTGAGCCCATTATGTGCCTCTGTAACCCTTTCCACTACCGCCCACAAGATGGGTATGGGGTGCATAATAAATGAACTAAACTAACTACTCGCTAGAGGTACATGGTGGAGTCCCTGGACGAGAAGGCCCAGGAGAAAAAGAGCAATCAACCAACACCGTTCCTTGACTACACCCACTTTGTCAACTACGACATTGATGATGGACTGAAGGCGGACGTGTTAAGTGTCTTCTCTCTCCCATGTAAGACTAGCTAGTCATGCTCTCCACTTGTACTGTGAAATAATGTTTGTCATTGTAGCACATGCTACATCAACACCTGTAATACCAGCATTTGCAAATCAACATATTGAACAAGTTAAGTGAGAAGGTGGTGGAGGCCAAAACCGTCAGTAGTTTCAAAGCGTTATATGACAAAGAGTACTGGGAAGACGAGACACCACGAGCGTAGCTCTCATCCTATAACTTCACTTAGGTTGCTAAACTTTGTTAATTACATTGCACGTTAACAGTGTCTTTTCCAGGCTTCCCAAGTATGCGTGCAGTCCATCCTCACAGCCTTGATGTGAACTATATTCCATCTTCAAGCTTAACCAACTAAACTAACTTATGGATGTAATCGTGCTACTTTCACGGTTTAAAGCTGTCAAACTATCCTCACTACCATATCAATATGTCAATATGCTACTGAAAGCCCCAAACCGTGGAAATCACATGATAGAACCTATGAAAACTGAAATGTTAATTAATTTGTCGGCAGCGCGCCTGGAAGGATACTACTGCCAGGTGTTCTGCCAAGTTCTTCCGGGTGAGGAAGTAGAGGAGCTGCCTCCCACCCCTGAGGGCTATGGCCACGATCAGCACTTCATCTCCAAGAACCTAGACTTTAAGTCCTCTCAGCGCTCACCCGTCTGGCTTGACGATCCTGTGGTGAGATTTTTTTTTAACATTTGTGTAGCATATTTACTGACAATTCAGCCGAGATTCCAAGTGCCAAACTTCAGAACCTGCAGAAGAAATAAACTTTCTTGCCTCTTCCTCAGACGCTGCACCCTCACTATGATGAGCAGTCAATCCTGTTGATTCAATTGTTTGGCTTCAAGCCCAAATACCAGCCAGGGAACGGCTCCTCGCCTGGCATCCTCACTACCACTGATGATCGCAAAGTCAGCTTTGATTACGACACTCCTCTTGCCTGGACGTTCACCCAGATCTTCGACAAGTTTGTGAAACAAAATATTTGTTAATGTTATGTATTTTGATTGGCATTAAAACACGACAAGTATCAAACATAGAACACTTTGTTTACTGTGATGGGCAGTATAAAGATTATTGATGCATTGAGATTATACTGATATCCCTTAAATTGCTCCCGCACAGAGAGGCAGTGCTATGTGGACTACACTGGCTGCCCCTGTTCACTGGCTCACCTGATCCTCTCATCCTAGACTTGTTGAATGAAACTGCCCCAGCACACCAAGTCCTCTCTCAATACAAGTCAGCCTTGAAACCTTTAGTAAGCTCCTTAATTGTACTGTATAGATCTTGTGCTAAATTCGAACCAGAATCCTTGTATTACCTCTCGTATATGCTTGTGTACTCATCTAGATGCTTGCGTTTCGAGCTTCAGATACAGAAACCTGTCTTTCATGCAGTTGCTGGTCACTTATCTTAATAACACGACACTTTTGATTTTATCATACCTTCACTTGAAACAATGTATGGAGTTGGCCTAACACAATACATTAGTCTAACACCTACAAATGTCAATGATACAGGTCTGCAGTTTATTACGTCCTTTTTATTCCCTCTAATATAATAGGAATGACTTACGTTTACTAGCTGCCTGGTAGTTCTCTCCTCGCCAATGAAGCCATTAGATTTGGGGAGCTGCTCAGAGATTCGGCTGCATTCTTTAGCACCTAATGGAAGACCTTATCTGGTTCTATGGCTGTTGGCAAATCTAGATCCTCCAGGCTGCTTTCTCCCCTTCATCTCCTCTAACCTCCATTTTGCTTTGTATCACTCGAGTTAAACTCTAGTAGCCATTTGTTAGACCATTCCTTCAGTCCGTCCAGGTCAGTCTGTAGCCTCTTGCTGTCCTCATCTGTCTTAATCCTTCTTATGATTGTAACATCAGCAAACATTGACAGGAATGAGTATACCTTCTGGAACATCATTCACGTATATTAGAAACAAGATAGGTCCAAGTACAGAACCCTGTGGAACTCCACTGGGGACATCACGCCAGTCTTAGGTCTCCCCCCTCAGTAATTCTCTGCTTCCTGTTGTTTAGGTATGCCGTTATCCATTGGAGCACCCTACCGCTTACTCCATCTTGTTTCTCCAACTTATGCATGCAAGTCTCTTATGGGGTACTGTATCAAAAGCTTTCTGACAGTCCAATAAAATGCAGTCTGCCTATTGTTCTCTTTCTTGCTTAATGCTCGTTGCTTGGTCATAGAATTCTATTAAACCTGTGAGACACGACTTGCCTTCCCCGAACCCATGCTGGTGGTGTGTTACAAAGTACCTTCTCTCCAGATGTGCTATCAGTTTTTTCTCACGATCTTCTCATCACCTTGCATGGTATACTTGCAAGGTGATGCAAGTATACTTGCAAAGTTATACACATAACTGTGTTTAGGGCTGCCTGCCTATTCCCCTTTTTGAATATTGCAACTATGTTAGCTGTCTTCCAACTCTTTGGTTGGGCTCTTGTTTCCAGTGACTTTTTATACGCCATAGTGGCAGATATCAATATATCTGTCACTATGGTATATAGTGGCAGATATTCTATATAATGACTATATTCTTCCCCCTCTTTTAGCATCCATGGTGAGATTCCATCACGTCTAACAACCTTAGCTATGTCTAGATCGAGCAGATATCTCCTAACCTCATCTTTGGTAATTGCAATATCTTCTAAGTCTGCTTGGTGTATCGCCACCCCTCTTAGTTCAGGGACTTCTCCTTGCTGTATTGTGAAGACCTCCTGGACTCTCTTATTGAGTTCTTCACACACCTCTTTTGTTATTCTCTGTGTACCCATCCTCTTCCTTGACTGCTGGTGTGTGATGGTTCAAATTAATCCTTGATGATATGCATGTACAGTATTGTGCAAATTACATCATAAATGATCAATCAATATTTTTTTTTAAATCTATAAAACGATGTTTAAAATATATATTTTGTACATTTTGTAATAATAAAGGTACAGTATACATAAACATTAAATTCTCATAATTTTACATCTGGCCTTCTATGACAGATAGATATATGACAATGTCCTAAGTTAAATTTTCAACCTAGGATGGGGCATCTATTGAGATTAAGTTGTGTGATGGCCGCATTGACCCTTTGGATATTAAAGAAGTTCGACTAGAGAACATAATGGATGTCATGGGTCAGAGAACAAACTGTGCAAAGGGCCAAATACAGACCTTCTCAAAGACTATTAATGAGGTAAGGTTAAATTTTTAGTACTAATGTAATGCAGTCTATGAAATTATATTCGACTTGGTAGCTACCCCCATTTTAAACATCACGTTTCTATGGCTATAAGGAACATCATACTGTATTGTATAAGCTTCTTGGTATGTTTCTCCAATACAAAGAACTTATAACTTATCATCCTTAGGACATTCTACGAATGTTCGTTATACACTTTAACCCTTACACTGCTACAGCCTGGGCTGTAAATGGGGGTATAAGCTGGGGTTGGGTGAAAATATATTTGAATTATGTAAAAATTTATATTAAATTTTAAACATATCTCCAACTTATTGGCTTCAACGTCGTGAAAGTTTCATCCCAATATTTTCAGAAATGGATTTTAGACAATTTTTTTAAGAGGAAAGTTTTGCTGATAAGATCAGCTCCTATTAACTGGAACTGAGGGATAATGCAGTAATAAGGAGATGCAAGCACCTGTCTGATGCACAAAGAAGAAGAATAGTAGTTAAAAGTGCCCACAAAGTGGATATGCAGCTGGTGTCTTTATAGCAGCCCGTCCTCCAAAAATGGGGAGGTAAATGTTACAGCCCCATAAGTGCAATTATGTACTATGTATGGCAGTCAGGAATTGTACTTATTTTCACTTAGTATTAAACCGTACGGTCAAATATATTGTGAATATTTGAGTTTACCTGAAAAGCTGACTAGAAAACCATGACCTAACATAACCGTCTTAGTTTTTTAAGATAAGCTTTTTATTGCTTCTTAATTACAATTATTTCTTAACCTATAGCTATATTGATATTACAGTTTTATAAAACAAAACTAAAATAGTTTAATAAATTGTAAAGTAACTCAGGATATTTTCAAATTTTGTATAAAATCTCTATTGTTTAATAAAACTGAAAAAGAAATTTCTGATATTTAAAACTTGTGTATAACAAACTGACTTAAAAATTTCTTTTTAAAATTCTGAGTGTCATAACAGAAAACGAGAATACATCGGGAGGTAAATGTAACAGCCCCATAAGTGCAATTATGTACTATGTATGGCAATCAGGAAATCTACTTATATACACTTAGTATTAAAACGCACTGTCAGAGGATGGGTTGCTTTATAGCATTGCTGAGTAATACATAATAACACACATAATAATAAGTATGTTATTATGCTTATTTTATTATATATCATACAAATACATTGTCCAATGGTAATATCTGTTACTTTCACCAATGTCCACAATTTTTTTTAGGGGATTTTTACCTTTGTTTATTATCTGATTTTGTTGTAACCTCTACATCCGGGAGAATGCATACTTTTCCATAACTATGTGAAGATAGAATTAAATTGGTCAACAAATAAATCAGTCGTAACTGCCAGAACTTGGGATTTTTATTTTTTTGGCCTATTTTTTCACACATTTTAAACTATTTTCCATGTCTCTTTAGATTGTTTTGATGATTAGGGACCAGATAAGTTTTTCTTTTACTTATATAGAGTATACTCTAAATATATCCCCCTAAATCATTATAATTATCCCTATATTTTGTTTTTTTGGGGGGTTATTTTTTTCTTGACTTCATTTCAACACATATTGACCTACAACTTTGACGTATTCGAGTACGAATGCCAAACAATGTTTATTAAAACATACAAGTAAATTAATGAATTAGAACTGCCTTATACATTGTCGATAACTTCGGCTTCAATTACCTCAAACTATTGTTTCAACATCGAGTCAGCTTCAAAAAATTCAGTTTCTGACCGATTCTCACCATTTTTACATATAGTGTGCGCCCCTGTCTGTTCTACAATCATATTAGAATGGATTTTTTATAAACTCAAAACGTTTTGAGTTATAAATTTTGTTGTCTGAATTTGGTACATATTTCAAATGCCATATTGACGATTTTTTTTTACAGAAAACTAAACTGAAAATCTATATTCTAAATCTATTAAAATAAAGATCATATACTATTCTAAGAGCATAATAACACTTTAGTGAACAATTGGTGATATTTCATATTTTTGCAGCTGATCTGAAAATCTAAAATTTTCAATATTAAATTTTATAATTATTGTTAATTTTCTTGTTTTTCAAGTTACGTTGATGATCATTTAGACAAATTTGGAGTGTTTGCCTAGTAGATTATGCATAAAAAAAATTGAAAGCACTAGAACAAGTTTGAAACATTTATGTTACCATCGGGCTCTGTCGTATTTATACGCCATGTGCAGTTTAAGGGTTAAACATCACTTAACAGATATTTATGATATCATATTGTGCAAAACTACAATATTTAACATGAGCACTTTGCACATCACATATCAAGTCAAACAATTCTGGTCATCATGTTTAACTGCAGCCAAGTATAATATTTAGGAGCATCTCACTCCACTTACATTTTAAGTCACTGCCACACACAAATCACCAATACTATCATGAGCGATATCTATATTCAACAATTATTAGTTGCCATCAGTAATATAAGTAAAAGTGTTTCCAAAATTATCAATTAATCTAAGAACAAACAATATACAAATCAGTAGTAAAGTTGATGGTAAATTCCTTGTTGTCCTCATCGATAACAAGCTGAATTTCCAGGGACACATTCTAAATATAGCATAAAAAGTTTCTAAAACTGTTGGCATTCTTTCTAAAATCAGATATTATGTCCCTCACCCAGCTCAGGTGACGCTCTATTACTCTCATCTATCCTTATCTCAACTATGGTATTTGTGCTTGGGGTTCTACTACCCAAAATCCTTTACATCCTCTAATTACCCAACACAAAGCTTCTATTAGAACAATATCTAACTCTGGCCCCAGACAGCACTCGGTACCCTTACTCAAATCTCTGAAAATGTTAGATATTAAATCACTGCACATCCTCTCATGTGTACTCTATATATTTAAAACTCTGAATTGTAATGTCAATACTGACCTTAAAAGCTTCTTAGAATGTTGTAACAGAACCCATGGGCACCACACCAGAAACAAATACCTATTTGATATTCCAAGAGTACGACTTAATCAAACTAGAAATGCTCTACAAATCACGGGACCCAGAATGTGGAATGACCTTCCCAATCATGTCAAAGGCTGTACCCCTCTCAGTTTAAGATGAAAACTAAGTACTACCTAATTAACTCCATGTAACCTACCTTACCCCTAAATGTCAACCCATGTCTTACTATTTTTAAACAATGCTGTTTGTTGACCAACTTCTATATTGGCTATTTTCTACCATGTTCCCCCTTTTTTATCCTTTTTTTTTCTTTAAATGCAATTTATACTTTAAGCTCAATTACTACTGTGTATTAGTCTAAGGGTTTTTTCCCCACCTCACCTTGCCCGAAACGCTATGCGTACTAGTGGCTTTAGGTATTGTATGTACTAGCTCTATCTACAAATCCAACATTATGCTTGTAACTAATCCTCTATGTATGTACTTTTACCTGAATAAACACTTGATTTGATTTGATTTCAATAATCAACAGCAGCAACAGATAAGGAAGATCAGTGATAATTAAACACATGGATGAGTCCTGGATCCTTATGGTAATACAGTATCTTAACCAACCATTTTTATTTGAGTTCTCACAGTTGATTTTTTCAAGTGAAGTTTTTTTTTAGATTCCTGCATTCCCTATGTATATTTAAGGTAGTCTGTTGTCAACCTTAACATTATGATTGTACAAGACATTTCTCATATGATTTTTTTTTAGAGATACTGTACTGTAATGTACTAAAGAGATGATTACTTTAAGTATTATGTGCAAATTCCATATTTTGAATGTTTTATATAATAAAAAATAAACACATTCATGGGATGATTTGGACAGGTGTTCTAATCATTTGTACCTAATGCTTATCCATCATTTCATTTACATTATGGTAAATATACAAATTTTCCAGTCTACTTTTCCTTCATCTATTACCCTATTAGATCATCATCTATTCATAACACTACTCTATTAACAGCTGTACTTGGAGAGCATGACTAAGGCAGCGAAGAAGAAAGGCTCAGTTGCTAAGGACACTAATAAGGAGCGTGAATTCTTTGTACAAGCAGCAAACAAGGCATTTTTCAATGCGATGGTTAGTAAAAAAAATTTTTTAGAAAAACAGTTGATGCAAGTATGCTAGATGGATACTGAAATGAGGAAGTGTATGACAGATGTGATGGGAGTAAGGGAATGAAATGTGAATTGTGAGGTGCAGTACACTTGGATGGTAGGGAAATACTGTAGTAGGATGATGCCTGAGAATCGTTTAATAAAAGGGGTGTACACGAATGAAATAAGTGAATCATACGGAAGAAGTAGACAACCAGTACCTTGGAATGGGAAAGTAAAAAAATATAAGTGAGTGAAAAAACTACTGTACAGTATAGTACAGATACGAAATTGGAAGACAAATCAAATTAATCAATTTTTAGTCCAATCTAAATATTTGTTAAACTAAAGACCAAACAATGAGCAGACTTCCTTTCATATGTGTAAACTTATTTTATCATTTGCCTTATAATAAATAAGTTTCTAATTTCCTTTTGTAAATTTGTTGATAATTATAAATTTTCAGTTATAATTATAAATTTTCAGTTATCCGATTGACAAAAATATGATGCATATTTGGTTGGGCGTATATGTTCCAGTGGGAACGAGTCCAGTTGAATATAGCGAGTCAAGTTGAAATATCCAGGAAATGCAGTACTGTACAGTATACAATATAAAATGCAAGAATTATGTATTTTCTCATATCTTTAAACCATTATTCCTTATGCTGTTATATAGCTAATTTTCATTCTATAATTTTCAGAATAATGCACTGCAAGAAGCTGGTTTTACCACATTACATGAAGACTCATAAGTGAAATGGTATATGTAAAAAAATCTACTAATGGTATTAGTCAAGAATATTCAAATACAGTATGCATTCTCCTCATAATTAGACCAACACAGCCTATTTGTCCTGGTTACAAATTACTCTGCAAAAGTTTGTGTTTTTTAGGATTTAACATTTGTCATGAAATTATATATACAGTATTTTAATTTTTTTTAAATATCCCACATTTTCTCATATAGAGTTCACGAAAGCCAATTTTTGTAGTTATACAGAACACTAAATACTGTAATTAGAGGCAACACAAGAACTGTGAACCTTATAATGTGTTGTTTGGCACTCAACATACAGAAATGAAATTCTTTGTGTAAGCAATCAGTACTGTATTTAAATTTGAAATACTGTATACATGCATATTTAATCATTTTTTATAAAAATATCTGCAATTCTTTATAAATAATGTATGAGAAAGAACAATGTTATAAATTTCAAACAAAATTTTAATAATATATGTAAACATCATGGTAATAGAAACCAAGATTTCTCTTTAGAACACTCATTGCTTTGCCTTTATGAAAACTACAGCACCTGTTAAATTCCATTACAGATTTTGAGAGATTATAATTTTAACTATCCACATGACATGGGATTTAAACAGTCAGCTCTTGAAGTTTTTTGACGTAGCTTAAACCAACATTATCGTGCACATGCATGTGTTGATCCATGAATGAAATATATCACAAGTGGACAACCACCACTTGTGGTTGTCCCTAATCCCCTGCAATGTTTTCCTCTTTGCTTATTGATCTTGACTAAATTTAGCAGTCCCTTCAGAAGTATTCCAAGAGTACTAGTACAGTACTTGGTTCCTCTAAATACCATCATATTATTATTATACATACAAGTCCTTTGCATTTCTCTTACCAATTAAAATTTTCAGATCATTTCAGTCAAAATGGACTAAAGGTGTCTGAACTTCCTGGTATTTTGTGAGACTATTAGTCTCACAAAATTCATACTTAGGACTACACTGAACTAAATGAACTAAATGACAAATTACACTGAACTGCCTAATTACATAGGCAGTATCCTGAACCAATGAAACTCATCACACCATGGATAATTATGGAGATCAAATTTAAGCTTTATTCAAACACATACAAAGCCTTCTAGCTTCCATATTTAATCTAGCAGCTGGAAACTGATAACTTTTGGGGAATCAAAATGATTACGATAACATTTTCTTATACTGTATGTTATTTTCTAATGGAGAAGTTTATTCAATACATAATACTGTACTTAATAGTTGAAAATCGTTTGCAATGACTTGCCTGAAATTCATAATCATACTGTACTGACCATTACAAAATAAATTTTATAAGGTACAGCACTGTACCATATATTATTGTCATTGCATTAACCCTTAGACCATGCAATACATACATATATGATTTGGCAAAATAATTTAACGTAAGATTTTAAAACTTGCACAAACACCTTCCAATTTTTTTGGCACAATCAACTATGCAAGTGCTCCAACTTTTTCTAAATGATCACAGCATAACTTGAAAAACAGGAGAACCAAAATTAATTTTAAAATTGAATATTGAAAACTTCAGATTTTCAATTCAGAATAAAAAATATGAACTATTACCAATTGTTCATTTATTTGTTATTATTCTCTCAGAATAGCATATGATCTTCATTTTCATCAAATTAGAATATAGGTTTTCAGTACAGTTTACTGTAAAAAAAATTGTCAATAGGGAAATTTAGAGAATCTATTCAAAGAATATTGAAAATCATCAATAGGGAATCTAAATTTGCCGCATTTGAAATATGCGGCAAATTTAGACCCAAAATTTTTTTAACTCCAAATGTATAAAGTTTATGAAAAATCCATTATAAAGGGATTGTAGAACAGACAGCCGAGCACACAATATGTCAAAATAGTGAGAATCGGTCAAAAACTAGAAATTTAGAAGCCACTCAAAGTTGAAACTCTAGTTTCAGAGATAACTGATGTTGAAGTTATCAACAATGAATAAAGGTAGTTTAAATTCATTAATGTAATTGTATGTTATAATAAACATTGTTTGGCATTCGTACTCAAATGTGTGAAATTTGCAGGTCAATATGTCTTGAAATCAAGTCAAGAAAAATAACCCCACAAAAAAACAGCGTTGAATGTAATGAAACACCATTTTCTGGGCGAGTCCCAGAGGCTCCCCGGAGCTATCCAAGCTGAATGGATATGTACAGTATAACTTTCTGGCATTAGTCAAGGTGCATGGAGTTCTTGCCTACCGGGAACCACGAGGCAGAACCTGGCCCCTCTCAAAGAGGCACGAGGAGCAATGGCCTATAGAAACCCCCCTGTGGTTGGGAGCATTCTATGTCTGCCATCGACCAGGACAGGCACCCAGAAAGGTAGGCGCCCCAAAACAAACCCCTATTCTGGTGAAAAGATTGCTACCGAAAGCCGAACGAGTGGACAGAAACTCCCCAAACAAAAATTGCAAACTAGCATGACATCATCACGTCGTTGTGCTGCCATCTGCGCAACCCCCCCCCCCCTCCCCGGGAAGGGGAAGGGGGAGCCCCAGACCCTCCGCGCCGGCTATCCAACTGGCAGTTCTTAGGCTGGATGTCAAAATACGCAAAAAACACCACCGACCGGGAGGGAGGGATGCCAGGGAGCCTTCGGGACTCGCCCAGAAAATGGCATTTCATTACATTCAACGCTGGTTTTCTGGGGGAGCCCCTACAGCTCCCTGGAGCCACCTCACCAAAGATAAGGAAAAAGAGGGAAGGAACCGGGAGGCATACGCAACGCGCCCAAACCAAAAACAAAAAATCACAGGCCAAACCAAAGGACCCTGCAGCCGACCCCGGGAGACCCTAACCCCTGAACAGCAAGGAAGGAAGGGAACCCAGGCAAAGCAAAACGCGCCCATGGCCCCAGAGGCCACAATGTGTAAAAAAACAGCAAAGAGCCGCAACCAAACAACACACGAAGCACCCCCAGCCCGAACAACCAAGCCGCAACCCAAGGGCCCCAAAGGAAAACAGCAGACCCAAACCACACCAAAAAAGAAGGGGACTGCAGCAAAAAATAACCAACCACCAGGACCAAAGTAGCAGAAAAACACACCAGAACCGAAAGGGCCACGACAACCGAGGAGAAGATAAACCACCCCAGGATCAACGACCAGGACAGCACCAGAAGTGCAAAAGCAGGCCGGAGGTGAAAAAACAAACCAAACAGCTAGCGGAACGGAGCAGAAGGAACAGCAAGACTGAACGCAAGCGGGAGTAGACACATCAGCGCCGTCTGAGACGAGGCAACAGCACTCAGCACCAAATGACAGTCCCGGAACAACCCCAAAGGGAAGGATAAGACAACCCTATCAGAGATTGTAGTACACCTATGCAGTGATAGGAAAACTAGAAGGACCTCCATGAGCTACCCACTGCCGCCGAGACTATGCATGCAGGTGGGAAATCAACAATGAAACCACCAGCACCCACACAAGGGATGAGAACCCGAGACAAAAAAAACCCGAGACGCGAAGACTTGAGGGGAAGAACGAACCAGGCGGTACAGGGCTGGACCGACCCGCAAGAGAGGCGGAGCCGCGGGAAAACTCGCAGGATCGGACACCGAGCAAAGACGCACCCCAACCAAGAGCGGCAAAGAACATATCACTCAAGAACTGCCAGTTGGATAGCCGGCACGGAGGGCCTGGGGCCCCCCTTCCCCCTCCTTGGGAGGGGGGGGGGTGCGCAGACGGCAGCACGGTGACGTGATGACGTCATGCTAGTTTGCTATTTTTGTTTGAGAGAGTTCTGTCTTTCGCTCGAACTGTCTGGAGTTCGTTTGGCTTTCGGTAGCAATCTTTTCACCAGAATAGGGGTTTGTTTTGGGGTGCCTGTCCTGGTCAATGGCAGACACAGAATGCTCTCAACCACAGGGGATTTCTATAGGCCATTGCTTCTCGTGCCTCTCTGAGGGGGGCCAGGTTCTGGCTCGTGGTCCCCGGTAGGCAAGAACTCCATGCACCTTGACTGATGCCAGAGTTATACATATCCATTCAGCCTGGATAGCTCCAGGGAGCCGTAGGGGCTCCCCCCAGAAAACAAAAAATAAAGGGATAATTATAATAATGATTTTTTTCATCATTCCAACTTTTAAAAAGGCATAAAATAAGTCAAGACTCATTTCACCAGAATAGGGGTGAAAAACACATTTTATTTTCATCATTCAACTGTTATCCAATCAAGTGAGTCCAGATGTAAAATAAAGTTGAATAGATTTCTGGCCTTCCCATCTCTAAGTGCAAGTTGCAAGATTTCTACAGTTCTATCGTAAAACAACGTCCAAACTCTGCTCAAAGTTATAGTACAGCCCTTGTGTGTATATAATTTTTTTTACTCTGAAGCATAGCCAAAGACCAAGCTTTCTTGGTGATTACCTCGTCTGTAAAGCAGGCTGTCTTTAGCAGTAAAAAGGAACCAGCCTTTGAATGTGCCTCCCAACTTAATCTCTTTTATAAAGTGTGCTACAGCCATGCACACATTTGTGATGTGCCTTTGGTAGTCAACTATGGCAACTTTCCTTAATTCTCTCCTAAATATATCTATTTACAAGTGAATCCATTACATGTATTTGAGTCAATTGAAAAACTAGCGGCCATACACCCATGAATTGCTATATTAAAAGAAGTTCTGTTTAAATCCATTAAACGGTTAAAAGCAATTTATAACACTGAATGAGATATGAATAATTTGCACACACATCTGTGAAGAGGCATTTCAATTTTGAAGTAATATACAAATATTACTAAAGCGAAGATAACACCACCCCATTTTTATAAAGTGCTATCATTGAGATGAAACTCCTTAGCAGTCTTGAAATTGCAACCACAACAAACACTAATCAACTAACCTTGCCTCGTCTCTCCAACCTACATTTCGTGTAGCGCAATGATTAACACAGTCAATTCACAACCGGTTGAACCCGAATACAATTTCTGGGTAGGTGTGACACTTGGGCACATTTCCTTACACTTGATGCCTCTGTTCACCTAGCAGTAAAAGATAACTTAGAGTTGACCAGACCACACACTAGAAATTGAAGGGACGACGACGTTTCGTCGTCGAAGACCAATCATCCCATTGATTGGTCTTCCTCCAAAATAATCTTTCCTGCCTCTACTCTACACAGACGCCGTCTTGTAGAATTGGCTCTTATTAACAATGTACCCAACATGAACTTGAGTCCTGGCTTTGTTGCTGTGGACTCTTCCCTTTCACAGTATATACTCAAATGCTCTAATCTTTCTAACAAACGTGACTTAACATAAGCTTTCCCCCTTCCATTTCTTTCTTTCTCTCTTCTCCCTTTTTCTGTTCATTGTCTTCTGCGCTCCCTTGCTATCCCCTTCTTATTCCTATTACTATCTCCTTCGGTGGTTATAATAGGAGCTGCCTCGTATGGGCCAATAGGCCTGCTGCAGTTCTCATTACTACTATCCCCTACACCTGACTTTCCTCCCCAGCTCTCTCTTGCCTATTTAATGCCTGTCCCTACCTGTCCTCATCACAATCGACTCGAGAATGGTCCAGGACGGACCGAAACGTCGTCGTCCCTTCAATTTCTAGTGTGTGGTCTGGTCAACATACTTCAGCCACGTTATTGTGACTCATCGCCTGCATAACTTAGAGTTAGTCAACTGTTGTGAGCTGATTCCTAGGGAAGTGAATCATTACCCTAGAGGAACCTCAATAAGCCTAACAGGCTTCCCGTCCCCTGATAATGGGAGACCAAATGTACAGCATTACCTCAGATCCAGTGCAAATAATACAAGAATTGGAATATTGTATAAATATAATTTAATACAGTACTGCAAAGTGCAGCAACTGTCTATGAATTGGTCTTAATTACAATCTGAAATACAGTACAGTACTGTATATGACACTACAGCATTACTGTACAATATATGTTTAGTGTCCAAATATAAAACATTACAATATCTTAAATACAAATACTTTCTAATATAAAAAGGTAAAAATATGCTAAATAAAATTATAATTAATAGTTTAACCAATTACTGAAAAAAATCTTAAGACTATTTTAATAAACTTAGTTACCAGTCATAAAGATATGAGGGTGATCAACAATGGTAAACTTAGCAATACAGTACTGTACTATAATTTATGCAATAAAAAATACTATAGTCTACAGTATCACCTAAAGAAAAAAGAAAAACATACTGTATATGTGAGTTGTATTATAGAGAATGGATCAAGTCATCACAGCATGCATCAGTAAAGGGACAGTGCAAAATCACCGAAGAACTAAGCAGCTGGAATGTTATAATACCCAAAACAGACAAGCCTAGATTACACGTTTCCAATATTTCTGAGAATCAAGTGAAATCATTTCCAGTAATACGCTAATAAACAAATAAATAACTATTATTTACATATATGGCTTTCTGAACTATAATTTAATATACTTAAGACCATTCATACAGGAAACAATATTCATCAGGAGTATCATCATTCATTTACTTTTCAGGAACAAAATTTCATTGTAATGTACAATGTAATGTACAGAGTGACTGAACAGAAAGTGCTTTTGCAAATCTCAAGATGCAGCTGACATGATCTCTGTCAGTTGAGAACACTCTTACAATTATTGAAGAAAAACCAAAACCTGCAAAGCGGTGTTTTGCTTTGGAAACAAGTTACCATTAAACAAAGACCAAAAAATATTTAAGAATATGCCTTTTCCAATTATGTGATATATAAAACTACACGTATTGTACAGTTATATGCAAAAGTATGTTCTATAACTAAGACATAATTATGGCCATAAAATAATTAGTAGCAGCCAAGATCATCAACAGCAGGAAAATAGCTAATGTTGTTGGCAAGAGATTTCAGATTCGTGAGAGTTGAGTCCAGCATAAAATCTACCTATTGAAGCAATTGCACTGGAGTTGTTTTTTCTCATTTAACACATGAGAGAATTTTTCCTTTTATATTAGTTCCTGAAAAAATTATACAAGTCTGCAGTTCTTTTCAGATTTTGCAGTACAAGCCAACAGATTTTTTCTATTAAGTTTTAATTTCTAAATACTGTACTGAAATTGTATTCCTAAATACTGAACCATGTATATTGTCACATTTTGCATTAACTCAATATATCAATGAAGTTTCATAAAAAAATAATTTGATTTAAATATAATATTCAGAAGAAAAAATTCTTGCTGAAAGCCACTTATCAAAATTGTTTAATTTACAACCTAAAATCATAACCACTGCCTATTTATTAACTAATTTAGAGAGCTTTCATTTGTGCCATAAGATCATCAAGGCTTGTGTCATCAGTATCTGTTACTTTGCTTTCAACCTCATTAGCAGCTGGGGCAGGTCTCTCATATGCCAAAGTGATACCTTGTGCCAGAAAAGGCATCTGTGTTGATGCTGAACTTACAGCATCATCTGGTGTTGCATCATCAACCAAACAGATACCTGCAACATAATGTGTATTTCTGTCAAGTCACTTAATATGTACAGTATTAATATCAGCTCCTTATATTTTATAAATAAGGTAGATTATGAGCATAATGCTTAATGTTGGATAAACATTTAATTTCACACACAAAATCTCTCTATCAACTGGCTATAAAATCCAACCCAATAATAGGATACCCTCTTAGATTCAAATTTACTGAACATTATACTCTAGTATAATTTTCAGGACTCATGTTGCCTAATTGAAAACCAAATTCTCTGAAGCATCTTTTTTTTTTTGTCTTAGAAATTATTCATCAATTTAAGATAAACTTGAAAATACAGTACTGTATACTCAAATAGGCCTAGCTTAAGTCAAACTGCTTTAGTACAACATGAACATACTTTATAATTTACATTAGAAACTATATTTTTTATTCCAACCATGATCCTGAACAAATGTGTTGCAGGCTCTCGCAAGGATTCAAACTGGCCAAACTGGTATTCAATTTGTGGGGAATAATTCAGAAAAACACCTGTTTATCCTAGTTTGAAGGATGGTTTTGGTTTTATAGCCTAATGGTTATTAATTAGGGGTTAAGTTAGCTTTTCATGAATGCATGAGCAAAAATGATTGACTCATATTCTTCTCATATGTATGTATGTATAGGGCCTGTAGCACAGTGATCAATGTTCTCGACTCCCAATCAAGGTACCGAAGTTCAATCCCCAGGCAGGACAGATATGGTTAGGGACATTCCCTCTCACCTGATACCTCTGTTTACCAAGCAGAAAAATAAGTACAGTACCTAGATAAACCAAAGTACAGGCACCCTGTTTCCAACAAGAATTACACAATATTTATTAATTTAGAAAATAATAATAATATATATTTACCATTTTAAACATCTACTTACCCCACTCATTATCTTCATGGATCACTTCTTCCTCTTTCACTTCCTGCTTCTCTAATTTAGGCTCAGAAGCTTTCTTTGCGGCAAATTCTGCTTGCTTTTTCCGACACCATGTGTCTTCACATTGTGGGTTTGGCTTGACTGTCATAGCAGGGAAGAAGTCCACCAGTGCATTGTAACCCAGGTAATAAGAGACTTCTCCAAAATTAAGAAGGAACCTGAACCATAAGATTTCTAAATTAGTAAAAAGCTTACTTTCAAGGTTGTATGATTATGACAGCCCATCCTCTTGTTTTGGTAGAACTTACAGTAAGGATGAGAACCATAGAAAATATACACATGAACAACGAAATTAGAAAGTAGAAATCGGCACTACTGTACTGACTTGGACAAACCAGAAAACTATTTTCTACTTATGTTAGAAAGACAAACTAAACTAACCTAACCTTCCTAGGCCTAATACACACTATCTGGGGCCTAATATAGTACATATGTGTGCTATACTTGGCCTAGGAATATTTAAGTTTGTTTTTATCTAAATTTTTTCCGATCCCATAAAGTGAAAAGTACAAATTTCCACTATCTAATTGCTCAGAATGTCAATCTTTGTATTATGGTGAACATACTGTAGCTACAAAAACTACTATCTAAACAGGAGAATGGGTTGGATTATGAAGATAACTTGGCTCTGCTTACCCTCGTGCCCGTCTGGAGCATGCCTCTGCTTACCCTTGTGCCCATCTGGCACATGTCTCAACTTACCCTCATGCCCGTTTGTGCATGCCACTGCTTACCTTCATGCCCATCTGACACATGCCTCTGCTTACCCTCATGCCCATCTGGGGCATGCCTCTGCTTATCCTCGTGCCCATCTGGCACATGCCTCTGCTTACCCTCATGCCCATCTGGGGCATGCCTCTGTTTACCCTTGTGCCCATCTGGCACATGCCAATGCTTAACCCTTGCTTTTGCTTACCTCCATTATATTTTCCATATTCAAATAAACTACAGGTACTTATCCCTCGTCACCAGCAGTTGCACTGTCCTGGAATTGTCTTATTTCTAAAGGCAAGATTTCTTGCTCTTTGTTGTCACTAAGTAGAAATTCAAAAATTTCATACCTACATTACCAAAGTATGTACCATGCAGTTGGTTAACACCAAAATGCAACCCCACTACAAAAGGAAATGTCCCTTACTTCTTATTATTTACCTATTTATGTCTACAGCTTTTTGGGTTTCTCCTTGCTATCTGTATCCTGTATGTTTAAATTTCTTTACATATCTATTTCTTTGTTGTTTTTACTCTGGAAGCAATGAATGGAGATGGCTTCCACACCATCTTTCAGTGCATTCCACTTGGTTAACACACTCACTGAGTACAGGTAATTTCATACTTCCCCACAATTCATTTTTATTGAAAACTTCCAACCACATCCTCTATTATTTGAATTTGTCTCAATAGGAAAGAATGTTCCTGTTCACCTAGTCTATTTTCAATATTTTTTATGTTGTGATCATATCCCCTCGGGTCCTTCTCTCGTCTAGTGTTTAGATTGAGTCGATTGATTGTTTTTAATTCTTATGTTATAAATGTGAAAGGCAGTGTACATGTTCTATGATGGCAAAAATGCCACAGCTTGGGAAATCATCAAGGACCATTAATAGTTTAAGGTTGTACAGTATCTTCCTCTGTGATCTCTGCACACCTCTAGTAAATGGATTGCAATCCAAACTATTGGGATTATTCTTTGAAATCAGTGCATATGTGTTAGGAAATTTTGAAGCAGCCATATTTGGTCTTTATAAACATATAAATCAGGTCAACTACCCTCCCTCAAATGAATTATAAAATTACCATTTTTCAAAGAGGTGGCTACATGATAAATAACAATATACATACAGCAGATGGTCCTTGTGCCACCATGCAAAATTTTTTAAAATTTCAAGCCTATAAATGTTCACCAAAATTAGAAACCTAACCAGCAAACATGAAAATGAAGAATTGATGATGCTTCGGTCTGTCCTGGACCATTGATAATGGTCCAGGACAATTGGATAATGGTCTGGACCATTAATAATGGTCCAGGTCCATTGATAATGGTCCAGGTCCATTGATAATGGTCCAAGATGGACTAAAACATCATCAAATTTTTAATTTTCATATTTGAGGGTTAGGTGTCTATAATCTTCAGCCATATTTTTGTGACAATCTTCACCAAAATTAATAACATATTTTAAAAAGAGCAGAACTCACCATTTTAATTACATTCTCATCTCAACCTTCTAAATAAATAATAAGTTAGAAGAGAATGGCAGAATTCAAAGCTTCCATATAGTTCAAGTGCTTGAGCTAAAAATACTGTAAAGTTGAAGGCCAATGAAAATTGAACAATCTGATAATGTAATAAAATAGCAAGGAGAATGAAACTCACTTAAGAACATTCTGCACTAACAAGCCTGCAACAATCCCCATGGTTGTAGGCAAGGAAGCTGCACACACCCCTTCTCGCTTCAGAGTGCGTTCATCAATTTGGCTGGCAACAACCAGAGGAGGTGCACACTGGAAAACAAAACAAAAAAAAATTAATCATCACTAGCCCATTTACCAAATGAGAACAATGAAAATAGTGTGTAAAAGAAAGTCACTTTATTCATATTCCACATCTTGCACACTATGTACTGTAAAATAATTCTTTGTGTCAGGGGACAGGCAGCCATATTATACACACAGTACATGTTAGGCTTATTTCAAGGTCCCTCCCCAGGGTCGAATTACTGTCCCTCCCCCTGGATGCAACCCCACAGCAAGCTGACTAACTCCTGGATACTTATTTACTGCTGTGTGCATAGGGGCATTAGGTGATAGGAAGCGCACTCAACCATTTCTGTCCCACTCTGGATTCAAACCAGAATTCTCGATTGTGAGCCGAGAACAAACCCAACTGTACTATCGGGTTTCGGCTCCAGGTCTCACACAAGCACTCCATCTCTGGCCACATTCAGCCCTACGTCCTGCCTGATTCCACTAGCAGCTCTGACTCTACCTACAACACGTAACATGCATCCTCATCTCAATCTATAATGAAACGTCATACCATTTCTATCATCTGGGTTCTGTAACCAAGACTATTAAATAAACATAAAAAGCTACATATACTGTTTGAATGTTTACACCTTATTTCATTTGTCACCAGACATTTTGCTCTAACTTAAATATTTAATTTTCAAGTGAATAAAATGAGGTGCAGACAATATACAATCTGTCTTCTCGAATCATTTGATTTATACATTAAAATGCACATTGCATTTTGATGTATAAATCCTCAACATTAAAATATGTTGTACAGGTACTATAAATTATAACAACTTGCAAAATTGATGAGCTGTCATGTTTTCTATTTGTGGTCATTGGTTAGGTCCAGAAATTTAGTACATCAGTTTTGTGACATGACAACTCGAGAGGACGAGCTGTAATATATCCAACAGAAACCTTCAGGAAGAAACAAACTTGGCAAAACCATAATGCACCCTTGCTGGATATACTGTACCTAATTAAAAAATATAAGTTTTCTCAGTCCACATAAATACTTACATCAAAGCATGCAGTCTCTCCTGGAATGAGGAACTGTATGTGTCCAGAAACAGCATTCTCAGCAACCCCAGACTCAAACCAGGTCTGGCCTAGCTCATTGCAGGCACGGTTAACAGCCATCCTAGCCTCATAGTTGTCAACACAACTTAAAACAAGATCTACTGGACCCCCTGTTATGCCACCAGTCCTGCATGGATAGAAAACTAATGAACATCAAATGATTCTCTATTAAAAAAAGAGAAGAAAACAAACTGTACTTTATTTAATTACTGTAATTACTGTGTGGCCATTTACTATACAAATTTGAAGATATGTATATCCCACAAAATAATGAAATATATATTGCATTAAAATGCAAACATTTAAAATCTAATCTAATGACACTACAGTATATTTGATACTTTTGTTTAAAATCTTGACAATGAATTTGACTAATACTGATGTACTTACAATACTTTTAAAAATCAAAATAATACAGTATAAGGTAGGGTATGAAGAAGTTACAGTTCAATACTCGAGGCTGTCTGATTTGGAAATGAATAAGACAAGTGGGCAAAGAAAAGCAAATATAACAAAAATAACCAGTCTTCGAACAAAATTACAGATATTTTTCTTATAGCAGTGCTACTAGAAATGACTAAGGTAAACAAATTTACAAACTCGAATCAATTTTCATAAATATGAAAGTAATTGTGAAGCAAACTGAAGAATATTTCATAAATATCGATACAAGAGACTTTCAAAATTGCAAAATCATATTAATGTATCATGAAAATTATTCATCATATACTACATACACTAGAGAGTAGTACTGTAGAATCATCTTATATTTTAACTTACTTTATTCTATCCATGAAGTGATCAAAATTGTCAACAGTAGTAATATTATAATTGTGAGATTCAAAAGTAACATCAGGATTGATAAAGTGAAGAGTGTTGGCTGCTGCTTCCACTTTGCTCAACCCAGCTTGATGTGGCTGGAAAAAGAGGCGATTCATGTTCGCCAATTCCACTTTATCGTAGTCAAACAGCAAAAGCTGAAAGAAAATCATCCGCATGTAAATAGATTATCATTAAAATAAGCTAAAATTAATCATTTTTATTATTAGTTGAAATGCAGAAAAATTCATTTGAAAAGTATTTTCAAAATTGTATCCAAGGTCCCCACCTTTCCAATACCACACCTAGTGAGCATTTCGGCTGTCACACTGCCAACACCCCCCACGCCCACCACAGCCACGGTGTGACTTCTAATCTTCTCGTAGTCCTCTACAATGCCCATACGCTTTAAAGCCATTAACCGACTGAAAATGTTAATACCATACATTTAAGATCATAAAAAATAACAAATGCAGTTATCAGAAATACTGTATGACTGCATATGATAGGTTCCTTACATAATTGCATGATTGACAAGTGTACATGAAAAACATTTTATGGTCATAAACCTAAACAGGCATGTTGTACATTGATTACAGTAATGCATAAATAATTCCACAGTAGGAATACTTGAAGTTTTATGCCATGCTATAGGTGAATAATTTGTTTTGCTGGAAATGGACGAATGGTGCTAAGAAATGTTCCCCTACACAAATTTAGTTATTTCATGCTTATCTTTTTTTATGATGTAGTATAGTATGCTATGTATTGAGGACAATAAACCTATTAGGCATACTGAGCTCACTCAATTAGTGTACCAAATTCACCTTTATAAAAAAGAAGCGCCCTAAGGCCCTATATTGATCATATTCACAATACTATACAGTACATTGGTTTCACAATTCAAACATTTCTGAAATTAGTCTTAAGAAAGTGATATGCATTTTGCAGTAACAGTTGGCTTTCCAAAACTGCAACAGCATGACACAGTGGATTATGTGCAAGCTACCTGGTCCCCCAGGTTATGACCAGCTCTGAATGAGTGACCATGTGGATAGCATTACCCTTAGTTAGGGATACCTTAATTACCTTAGGGTTGTTGTCCTAACAATTGTATACCATTCCACACAAACATAACATTTCTTCTCCAAAATAGATGTGTTGCATCCTGCAAGATGCCACTTCTGCTCTCAGCCCTGAGGTGTATAGAGTGAGCATGCACTCTCACCTTAGCTTTCAGAAAGTAATAAGTACCATTAAGCCAGTGATTGGTCTGGGCTCAGAAGATATCAGCTAACCAATTAATGATCTGTATGCTGCTAACTACACTGCAGTGATCTTGGATGCACCTATATAGGAAATTCTTTGCCTATTTCATTCATTCATTGACATATCAACAAGTGACATCTTTTCTCATACAATGGCACTCGACTCTGCCAAATACAGCACCTCTCGTGGAATCCAGGTGGTGTGCCTCTTTCACCATATTTGTGCTATATTGCAGATAATTTTAGGACGTATATTGAATCTTCGTGTTAATACTGTAAGCTAAGAAGGTTAACACCACTTAAACATCTGAATAATAATAAATAATTAAAGATGTTGCAAGACTGACTAATGAGTATAGCATCAGTATTTCCAGTTTCTAGCACATATTAATGGTTTTACCACTGCAGTGCTTCTCATTGTCTGGCATTTAGTGTTGTCTGAAAAATAAAATTAAATCATTCTCAAATTTGTCTTTAAAGAAGCTACATCTGTGATCAGCTGTCACCTGTATGGATTAGTGTCCACCACCTCGCCAGACATCTGGGCGATCTTTTCCCGCGGAGCCGCAACTCCATGTCTTGCTTGCTTCAGTTCCTCCTCTAATTCCTTTATTCTCAGCTGAAGTTGTTGGACGGACATGGTGCTCGGCAGCTCAGATCAGGATGCAGCGTGACAGGAACCCCAGATGACAGGTAGTGTTAATGATGCTCGACCACTCTTGCCAGCACATCCCCAATATTTCCTCAGCGTTGGAGGGAGGCTCTATAATGACGTCATCAAATCCAAGCATTCACCTATAAGTATAATTAGATTTAGATTTTTAAGGGGATTTAGATTTAGATTTAGATCAGAGGGGATTTTTAGGTCCCCTCTGATACTGTTTCTATGTTCTTCTATCCTTCTACGCCCTTCCTGTCGTGTTTTATTAAGTATTTGAAGGTTACAAAATGTACATTAGTTAATATAATAAGGCTTTAAAGGTTATGGATCTCTTGGATCTTTGCTTCCGAACAGGAACCGAGGACGCAGCAGACGTTTCCCATCTTGATCGCCACACTGAGGCGCTGAAAAAAATGGCAGCCCTTAAGTCTCTGGAAGAGGTATGAACTGTACATTTGGGAAGAGGTATTAATTGTAATTAGTGAGTGAAATGGATTTAACAAACTCATCTCATTAAGCTAAGGAGAGTTTGGAACGAGTATATTACTCGCTACATACCTATTAATTAATATTCTTCAAATTTTGCTACAAATTACCTTATTAAAATTATCTTTTAGATTAAGGACCTGCCCGAAATGCTATATGTGTTAGTGGATTTGCAAGAATGTAAAAACATCAATGATATGTACTCTCATAAACCCAATGTACCTTCTTGTATATATAAATAAATAAATAAAATAGAAATATTTGTTTCAGGTAATGACGTCACCTCCAACTGGCGCTCAGGAAAAAATAGTTAATAAACTTGACCACTTTTGCCATGATGACAACACTGCTTTTGTATACATAATTTGTACAAAATATATTGCGTATATTTAATCTCTATTCTTATGTTTATACTTTCCAAAATTATAATTTGTATATAAAATACATATAATCCCGATTCGAGGTCCGAATTACTCCTATAACCTAATTAATAAATTATGGGAGTAGATACAATCATTTCGTACACTTGTTTCGAGCATATAATTTCGACCATGAATTCTCATTTTACAATTTATATGTCGTATCGTGTAACAGATTGTTTATACCGCCATTCAAGTTAGATAAGGTTTTAATATCCGTTAATGAGAACTTTTTTGTTGTACGAAATACTTTATATCTCTCCAAGCAAACTTCAACATCCGAGTTACATTAAATATCAAATAATTACTAAGAATGGGAATCATTGCAGAAGCTTTGTTCGCAACAAATTGATACAAATCGTTATATTCCTGGTTGGACTTAATACAGGTGTATCTTTACCTTTATGTACCTTCATACAGCCGTAAAGCCGTAAAGATTTAAATTTATACAGCCGTAGAGATTTAAATACTAAGCTAAACTGAGTAGCATATGCAGTATTTTATAATCAGTAGCAGAGATATTGGCAAAACATATCAAGATAACCAAAGAACTCTGTTTATATTTGACACGTTATCAACAAGTGGCTATTTAACGAAAGAACGAGATCGCAGTAAAAAACTCTCTCTTCCAACCAATAAGAAACTACGAATAAAGCAAGCTTCCCGTTGATTGGTTCCTGGCGGATGTCACTGCAACAGATCGAAAACAAACACTGCTTTATCTGGACCGATGTCCATGAAAAGTTGGGAGCGTGTGAGGGAGATAAGATGGAGGCGCAGGAGTGTGGCGTTCTGGAGTGCTAGCTGGATGTCATGGCAGATGACAAATCAGACGCGTCATGGGAGATGACAAGTCAGACACCTCCAGTATATGGCCCAGAGACGAGCTAGAGTTTGTCAGTGAGTTTCCTCTGGGTCCTCAACGCCAGCCCCAGGGTAAGTCCATACTCGGGGCACGTCCCCCTGTCATCTGATGCCACTGTTCACCTGCCAGTAAACAGGTACCTGGGAGTTAGGCAGCTGTTGTGGGTTGCATCTTGTTGAAGGTCAGTCATTGGCCTAGAGGGACCTGGACAAGCCTAACTGGCTTCCAAAAATTGTACTTGGAATCCCTCTAATTATTTTTTAAAGAAAATATTGTATTACTGTATTCCATTCTCTACCACTATTCACAAAAATTTGAGGATTTAATAATTCACTGTGTCGGGGGACAGGCAGACAGAATGTATATATATACATTAGGCTTATTTTGAGATTCCCCCCCTCCCACCTCCCTCCCCAGGGTCGAATAACTAACCCTTCCCTGGATGCAACCCCACAGCAAGCTGACTTAACTCCTGGGTACCTACTTACTGCTAGATAAATAGGGGCATTAGGTGGTAGGAAATATATCCAACCATTTCTGTATGTATTTCCATTCCTAACTTTTCTTATGTTGGATCCATTGGCTGCAGGTTTCAAGAAGTGCTTCTTATTAAGAGATAGGGGGGGGGGAGGTTAAAGATTTGCTATCCGGGAGCAGGAATTGTTGATATTGTTAACAACATGAATGATATTATGGCTGGAAATGGGAACAAACCCATTATATGTATCGGTACAGGTAGAAATGATGTTGGACGAGTTAGAAGTGAGGAAATGATACAGAGGCTTAAGACAGCCATACAATTAGTTAGGAGCAAGGGAGGAATCCCGCTCAAATGTGACATTCTTCCAAGAAAGGAAGTGGGAAATGAATGGTTGTCGAGGGCACTTCGTGTTAATTGCCGACTTGACAAACATTGCAAATCAAATGCAATATCATTTGTAGATAACTGGGAATACTTCTATGGAAGAAATGACATGTATACTCGGGATGGGGTGCATCTTTCTAAGGCTGGGGTTGTTGTTATGGCCAACTCGGAACCATGGGGTTGTTGTTATGGCCAACTCGGAACCAGTGGTGGGAGGGTTATGTTTGGGTTTAAACTGTTAGTAGATAGTGGTATGGGAATTAATATGGATTAATTTATTTAACATTATTTATATGGAGAAAGTTAGTTTAGCTCATTTATTATGTACCCCATACCCATCTTGTGGGTGATAGTGGAAAGGGTTACAGAGGCACATAATGGGCTCAGGGACTGAACCCCACAATTCATTTAGCTAAGCAAGTTACGATCTTGATGAGCTAGTTACAAAATTCAGTATAAGTCGTCACATCAACAATGGGTTCAAAATCGACCACAAGTACAGTTTCTAAATTAAGCAACTGACATATGTGGAGAGCTAGTGTCACAATTGATATGTTTGTCCTGCACACCGCCCCCCATCCAGTGGGCAGCGGTGGATAGGTTACAATCACTCTTAGTTACTACCTACAGTTAGCAAACTGGGGATATTTGGCTAAAATTTCTGGTAGCAGATCATTTTGAATGAAATATTGACACATCATTTATACATTGGTTATAGAATTGTCTCTGAATTCACGTATCTTTTCGCACTCCATCACATAGTGATGGAGGGTGTGCGAATAATTTTGTTGACACAGTTTACATTTGGTCAGGTCTACATCGGCAGATAATGAGAATTCCTAGAGATACTTGTAACTGAGTCTAAGTCGAGCAGTAGTAACATCTAGAAGTCTGCTGATTTTATTGGATGAACCATAGATGTGTGGCTCCTCTTGCATGATAGTATGATGATAGATGGAATTACTGGTGTCGATTTCACTTTGCCTCAAATCTACAAGATCTTGTTGAAGTTCTCGGTTTTCTGCTGCTCTCAGATTGCTCATTGACAATCCAAGGTTACACTCAACGTCTCCTTTAAAGGCAGATTCTTTGGCTAACTTATCAGCTCTATCATGCATTTGGAGGCCAACATGAGATGGAGACCACATGAAATGGACTCTGTTACCATCCTTAATAATTTTGTTATGGAGAAAGGAAGTAATAAAAGTACTGTAGGTGTTTGTAGGGAAAACAAATTAGCAAAATGAACAGGAAAAGAGAAGGGCATCAAAATAATAATACACTTAGGGTATATTATACGAACAGTGGGAGTCTAAGAAACAAAATAAAAGATCTAAATGCTCTTGTTTGCACAAAAACAATAGATATTATTGCCCTTGCTAAAACATGGATGAATGTAGAAAACGTATCTATTTGCTGAATATCAAATAAACGGATTTAAACTACAGTATTTCACACAGATATATTAGACGAGGAGGGGAAGTAGCCATATATGTTAGGGAAAATTTGAAATGTAGTCTCAAAGAGGGAATCAAAACTGAGCCACACACAGTAACTATTTGGATAGAATTAAACGAAAAAGCTAGAAATCTTATAACAGGAATTACAGGACACCAAACTTATTTATTTAAAATATTAAATATTTACACATATTTAATAGGCCACATATTTAACAGAATGGAAGTAAAGCATCTATGGGATGAAATATCTTGAGCATCTAGGTCAAACAGTATTTGTGTCATGGGTGACTTTAATTTTAGTGGAATAAACAAATCCACAAAGGCCGTGATGAGGATTCGAACCTGCGTTTGAGAGCATCCCAGATGCTGCCTTAATCTGCCTGCTTTGTTCATTTGATGCGTCATGCTATTGTGATTTCTGTGTGTAAGTTTAGTGGAATAAACTGGATTAACAAAACCAGGAATAATGAAGCAGAAGATTTTCTAGAATTAATTGTTGACTGCTTTCTCAAGCAACACATTAATTAAGGAGCCAACGCAGGAAAATAATATTTTAGACTTAGTGTTAACTAACAGGGAACACAAATAAATGACATCGAAATAGGGAGTGAGCTCGGGAACAGTGATCACAAAGAAATCAGATTTAGTATGGAATGGAATAGATTTATAGGAGAAAATTTTGTTAAACTGCCAGGTTTTTGAAAAGCTGATTTTAATGGCCTAAGAAATTTTTTGGTTGAAATAGATTGGAAAGCCCTGGGCATTGGTGGGGGGGGGCGGGCGGTCTTGGAGTGAGATGTGAACCCAACGATGGGTGATGTAAAAAGGGATTTCGATGTTGACTCAAAATATAACTTACTTAAAAGTATTTTAAGTGAAGCACAGGAACTTAGTATACCATACAAATTGAATAGATCGAATAGTAATGACCAACTGGATAACAAAGGATCTGAAGAACCTTATTGGTAAAAAGAGAGTTTGGTACAAAAGGATTTGGAATGGGGAAGTTAGTTTAGAACAAGAATTCATCCAACTGGTTAGAAATGTTAAAAAAAAAGAGATAAGGAGGGCAAAAAGAAACTATGAAGTTCGCATAGTAGGGCAAGCAAGGACAAATCCTAAAGTTTTTTTCAGTTATATCAAACAAAGATTAGGGAAATGATAGGTCCTTTAAAAACTGAGACAGGTTATATAACTGATAATGAAAAAGAGATATATAGTATTTTTAATAAATGTATTTTTATTTATTTTTATTTATTTATATATACACACAAGAGTTCTTACATTCTTGTACAGCTGCTAGTACGCATAGCATTTCAGGCAGGTCTTTAACCCTTAAATGGCACCTGGCTATTTAGCATGTGTCACCCACAGGCGCATACCAAAAAAAAAAAAAAAAAAAAAAAAAAAAATTCTTCTAAACCTGTTAACTTGTGTTCACTGATCATGGGAAAAAGAATAAAAAAATCGTAAGTGGCATATATTGCCCGCTATAGGGTGGGGAAGTCTGGCAAAAAACAGGTGCTGACTCAGCATGCATCCCAGACGGTCTGTTGCTCGCCAGCTGTCAGGCTGGAGTTGCCACAAAGAGATAATTACCTAATTATTTCAATGTCTGTGATTGATTTTTCGTAGTTTTTTTGCTGTAATATTATTCAATAGTGTGTAGTGTGATATATTTATACAGTGGTACCTCGACATACGATTGCCCCTACTTACGATAATTTCGAGTTACGATGTAAATTTCATCGAAAAATGCAACTCGACATCCGATGGTGTCGTCGACTTCCGATATTTGTTGGTACACATTTGGGTCGACCGAGCGCGTGGTACCCAGTCACGCGGCCGACCTGCCTCAGTTTACTACAGCTGCCCACTTAGTGACGATCGCGCCTATAAGAAATTCCGCTTTTGTGGTGATTTTTTGCATTTTGAACATTAAAGTAATTATTATATATCACGCCATGAGTCCCAGGAAAGTCAGTGGTAAGGCTCAACATATGAAAACCCATGTAAGGATGACCATAGAGCAGAAATAAGAGTACAGAATGTCCCTTCCTCAACAATTAAGAAAATGTGTGCAGCATGGGAAGAATTTCAAACCTTTGCTGAAACGACTCGCCCAAATCAAGCTGCAGTAGGTCATTGCCTTAACCTATTCGATGACACTGTGATGCATTATTACAGACAAATGTTAAAATGAAGGGAAAAACAAATGTCTCTTGACAAATTTGTAGTGAGACAAACAAGCACTGAACCACAACCAGGTCCTAGTGGTATTCAGGCAAAACATAGGAGAGAGAGTACCCCAGAGAAAACATCACTACCTGATGTGATAATGGAAGGGGACTCCTCTTCCAAACAGGAACAACTCTCTTCCTCCCCCCCTCATATGGTGTGCATATTGTTGATTCAATTATGTTCATCAAATAGTGAACAAATACTTTGTCGGTTATTACACTATATACACAGGTTATATATAAGTATCTGCATGTTTTGTGCACCATAACGAACCACTAAGTTGCTATTATGAGTCAAAATGTAACGAGGAGTGACCGCCACACACCAGCCAGTCACTCCCTCAACACCTCACTCGCCCACATTCTCCTCCCACCATACTGTTTTTGCTTTTATTCACTATATACAGACGTTATATATAAGCACTAGTATCTACATTCGTGTTCACCATAACGAACCACTAAGTTGGTATGCTGAGTGGCAGTGGCAGCCCGCCACTGGCTGCTAC